GCTGAAGTCGGATGCTCAACCAACTGAGCCACCCAGGCGCCCCCGTAACAGTTTTTAAACCACAAATCATCGAGTGAATGAGCCTTTGTGAGCTGATCTCTGCAACCAACCACCACTAGACAATATGGGTTTTATGTTCTGGGTCTCTACCTACAGATGCATTCTGGAATTCAACTCTTCCTGTACATGGTGAACTGTCCGGCTGACTCTTACTGCAGCCAATTTTCGTGAACATAGTCTCCTCCACCGTCCGGACTGGGACCTTCCTGCGGCCATCCTGGCCTTTAGGGAGGACACACAGGCTGACGCCTCGGTGAACATTTGTGGATTGAGGACTACGAGTCATGGGAAAGTGGACAGGATTAGGAATTATTCTGACTGTCGGCTCTAGAAACCCTTTCGATCAGGAACCGGCATTTCCCCACTTGACCATAGAGGGGGAAGGGCTGGGAGCTAGGAGGACAGGCCGACTATACATGACAGAAGGAGGGAGAAGGGTTTGCACGAGGGGGTCCATGAGCCACGGGCACAGAATGTGCAGCCCTGGGACCCAGTGACAAGGTGTGTTGCAGATCTGGGAAGGGAGCCTTGGGCCCCACTGTGACACTGCCATTTGGCTCAAGAGCAGGGGCAGTGGAGACGACTCAGGGTGCTTTTGGAGACTCTTGGGGTTCGCAGTTTTGAGACAGCCTGCTGGGCAGTGGACCAGAGTGCCCACGGAGAGCCCAATTAAAGGGGAGAGATGCGGGGCGCCTGGGTGGCTCAGTCGGTTAAGCGTCCGACTTCGGCTCAGGTCATGATCTCGCGGGTCATGGGTTCGAGCCCCGCGTCGGGCTCTGCGCTGACAGCTCGGAGCCTGGAGCCCAATTTGGAATCTGTGACTCCCTCTCTCTCTGCCCCTCCCCCGCTCATGCCCTGCTCTGTCTCTCAAAAAATGAATAAACGTTAAAAAAATTTTTTTACAGGGGAGAGGCACTGTCCTCAGGTGGCCCAGAGGGCAGTGGATGGCAAGGCAGGGCACTGTATGGGAACACGGCTGCAGCGGTCTCCCTCCCAGACCCCAGAGATCACTAGGGGATGCTCAGGTACTAGCATGCAAGAAAGAGCTAGAAGACTTTATTGCCAGGAGAGCTCCCTGGCTGTAGAGCTGTAGGAGAAATCCAGGCTGTACGCACCTTTAGCTGGCTTAGGTAGGGTCGCCAGGTGCCCTCCATGAGGCTCTGCCGATAGCCCTTCGTGAAGAAGCCGAGGTACGAAACGAAAGCCGTGGTCAGAAGCATGTCTCCGCAGAGTTTGCTCTCCTGCTGTCTGAAGTTCTGCACGGCCTCTGCCCACCTCACGTTTTCTGAGGCCAGTCCCCTCACCTGTGGTTTCAGAGAGGACAGACGACGCATCATCCCACGGGCTGCAAACAGACCCCGGGATTGAGTCACACGGGACGCACGGTGCTCGTCTGGTGGCAGCAGTCTCGGGACATCGTTCAGGTGGCCCTGTGGATCCACGGGGAGTCGCACATTTTTGGGGAACAAGACCCTGTTCTGTTCTGTGCTATGTGTTATTGGGGCTGTGGATGGATTACAGGGTGTGAACGCGGGCTTGGAGAAAATTAAATACGACCGTGTCGGTTAATCACTTAGCACGGTGCCTGGGATGCAAACATACTAGAAGCTCATGCACCTCCCCCTCTCCTCTCCAAATGCTGGGGAGAGGAAAAGAAATAAAATCAATCCCATGTGCTATAAATAATTCACAGTGGGCGGGGAGACAGACATGGTAATGAAGGCCCAGAGTCAGAAGTACTGAAACATGGCCGTGCGTGAGGCACCAAGATGGCGGTACATGTCCTGACTCTGACCGCCCGCTTTGGTTTGGTGCTCCTCTCCAAGGGGGAGCCCCTCTCTGGGGAGGAGGGGCCTCCTTTCTACAGTAGGCATCTGGTAGAGCTGAGTCTGTGTTGTGACTGACCCTTTTTCCTTCCTTGAGAGACGGCATCAGAGAACATCACAGCTGGAAGAAACCTTAAGGATGTGCCAGCCCAACCATTCCCATGCCCAGTTTTTAGGTGACACGGATAAAGACCAGAAAGTGGAAGGATCTCTCCAGAACCTCTAGGTCGGTAGAGACAGGGTTGGCTTCAGAGCCTGTACAGCCTGCCTGCCTCCCAAGAGGATCAATTCAGAAAACTCATGGGCCAGGCAGAGAAGGCCGTGCTAAGTTCTGGAAGCCAAACAGAGAGCGGAATGGGAGGCCAGCTGGGAGATCTGGACTACCTCTTGCAGAAGAGCTGTCTCTACACTGAATTGTTCAGTTAAAACCATCGTCCCAAAGCTACTCAACAGCAGGTGAAACAGACAACTGCACAGACGCACGCCTTTCTTCCCGGAAGCCATGGCTCATTTCAGTCATGGTTGTGACTCACTTCTCCCTAAACGAGAAAACCTGGCTCTGTTTTATAAACAAACGGTGGCTGGAATAAACATAAAAAAGGTATCAGTTCTACCTTTGGAGAGAAAGGTGCTGTGAAGGCTCTCCATTGAAGAGAAATCTTACCCCGTGGACGGTGCCTTCCAGGATCTTAGCTGGTTTATGAGGAAACATATAAGCCACAGGGGATTAAAAAAGGCAATGAATACTGACACTCTTTTCATCAAGAGTTGGTGTCTACAGGGGCGCCTGGGTGGCTCAGTCAGTTGAGCGTCCGACTCCGGCTCAGGTCATGATCTCACGGTTCGTGGGTTCGTGCCCCGCATC